CACAGGTGCTGAGCCTGCAGCTATTTTAGAGATGGATCTCACTCTTGCTTAGGCTGGTCTCAAACTCCTGAGCTCAAGGGAATCCTCCTGCTTTGGACTCCCAGAGTGCTGGGATTACATGCCCAGCTGAAACTTCATTTTTTTTTTTTTTTTTTGAGGCAGAGTCTCACTATGTCACCCTGGGTAGAGTGCTATGGCATCACAGCTCACAGCAACCTCCAACTCTTGGGCTTAAGTAATTCTCTTGCCTCTGCCTCCCAAGTAGCTGGGACTACAGGCGCCCACCACAACATTTTTTGTTGCAGTTGTCGTTGTTTAGCAGGCCTTGGTAGGTTCGAGCCCTCTAGCCTCGGTGCATGTGGCCTGCATGTGGCTGGCACCGTAACCACTGTGCTACGGGCGCCGAGCCTGAAATGTCATTTTTAACTTTTCATTTTGAAACAATTTTGGATGTGAAAAAGCATTGCAATGCCAGGTGCAGTGGCTCATGCTTGTAGTCTTAGCACTCTGGGAGGCTGAGGCAGGCAGATTGCTCAAGATCATAAGTTCAAGACCAGGCTGAGCAAAAGGGAGACCTAGTCTCTATTTATAATGGAAAAACTGGGCAAGAGGATCACTTGAGCCCAAGAGTTGGAGGTTGCTGTGAGCTGTGATGTCACAGCATTCTACCCTGGACAATAGCTTGAGATTCTGTCTCGAAAAAATTTAAAAGAAAAATAAAAAATAGCCAGATGTTGTGGCTAGTGCCTATAGTCCCAGCTACTCAGGAGGCTTAGATAAGAGAATCACTTGAACTCAAGAGCTTTTTTTTTTTTTTGGTAGCCCAACTCCTGGGCTTAGGCAATTCTCTTACCTCAGCCTCCCAAGTAGCTGGGACTACAGGTGCCTGGCTTTTTTTTTTTTTTTTTTTTTGCAGTTTTTGACCAGGCCTGGGCTTGAACCCACCACCTCCAGCATATGGGATCAGCACCCCAGTCCTTTGAGCCACAGGTGCCACCCATGGTTTTTTTTTTTTTTTTTTTTTGTAGTTTGGCCAGGGCTGGGTTTGAAACCGCCATCCTAAGTATATGGGGCCAGCACCCTACCCACTGAGCCACAGGTGCCGCACCCGGGTTCCCATCTTGACTGAGACCTCAGCCCTGTGTCCACCTCCCAGCCTTGGAGGCAGATGGATATAAGCTGAGAGCTCTGCTCGTTTAAAACAGAGGGAAATTCCTGGTAACACAAGAGGCTGCATTGTGCAGATGCTGTGAAGACAGTGGCCACACATCCCTTCTTAGCCATTTGGCCAGCTGTCAGCACAGGACCAAGGACCAAGGTTTGAACAGCCACCTTATACACGAAAGGGAAGCATTCAGGGGATAAATTTCTCAGAGAGCTGGTATCTTCAGACATGGGGTGAGTGGCTCAGGCTCTGAGGTATCACTGTGAGAGACCCACCTCTGAGGGTCCATGGACTCTCCAGGAGCCCTCCCCAGGCACCTCAGGGATGATCAGGGGGTGTGGATGTGCTGTGGCTCTGTTGGGTGGAGGCAGGGCCTGCTGCTCAGACAGGGTTGTTAAATTTGAAAAGAAAGCGCCAGCCACGGTGGCTTACACCTATAGTCTCTACCCTCTGGAAGGCTGACGTGTTAGATTGCCTGAGCTCACGAGTTCAAGACTAGCCTGAGAAAGAGTTAGACCCTGTCTCTAAAAAATAGCTGAGCATTGTGGCAGGCACCTATAGTCCCAGCTACTTGGGAGGCTGAGACAGGAGGATTGCTTGAGCCCAAGAGTTTGAGGTTGCTGTGAGCTGTGACACCTTGGCACTCCACCAAAGGTGACAAAGTGAGACTCTGTCTCCAAAAAAAGAAAAAAAAATCTAAAAGAAGCCTGTGAGGTCTTGACTCTGTGCTTTTTTTTTCTTTTTGTTATAGCTCAGCTAGAGCTGGGTTTGAACCTGCTACCCTCAGTATATGGGGCCAGTGCTCTACTCACTGAGCCACAGGTGCCACAGCGCCATGCTTTTCTTTCTTTTTTTTTCTTTTGCGGTTTTTGGCTGGGGCCTGGATTTGAACCCGCCACCTCTGGTATATGGGGTTGGCGCCCTACTCCTTTGAGCCACAGGCGCCTCCCAGTGCCCTGCTTTTCTTTTGAGCATCTTTAAATTGTCTCCTAGGTGGTGTGTGACCTTCAGTGTGGCTTTGACCATTGCTTCTGGAAGTCATCCAAGGACAAGAGGGTAGTTTAGTGTCCTGAGGAAATCTCAAGGACACCTTGGATTCTGGCCACAAGGGTCTTGTGACATTGGCAAATTGAGTGAAGTAGTGGCTACAGGGCATGATGTGCTGAGGTCTACAGACAGTGCTCAGAAACTTGGCAGCGCCCAGCAGATATGCTCTCTAGTCACAGGTCAGATTGTACACAAGCTCCTAGGTATTTCCTTAAAGAATGAATAACTTTTTTTTTTTCTTTTTGAGACAGAGTCTTACTTTGTTGCCCTCGGTAGAGTGCTGTGAAATCACAGCTCACAGCAACCTCCAACTCCTGGGCTTAGGCGATTCTCTTGCCTCAGCCTCCTGAGTAGCTGGGACTACAGGTGCCTGCCACAACACCTGGCTATTTTGTTGTTGTTCTTGCAGTTTAGCTGGGACCAGGTTTGAACCTGCCACCCTTGGTGTATGGGGCTGGCATCATACTCTCTGAGCCACAGGTACCGCCCAAATGAATAAGCTTTTATGATGTTCTTTGGACAGGTTAGTGTTTGAAAGTCATCAGATAGCTAGTCTGTCTAAAGGTCAGCCCTTCAGGTGTCACTGATAATAAAAGTGGGGTGATTTTCACATGTACGCAGGGCTTCCACAGATGCTTCATGAAAAGTAGACATGGCAGGCATGCCCATGGACTTGGAGAAGAGCCCTGTGGTTTCACACTGAGCCCCTCTTTCAAGGGCTATGGTTTTGTGATCTGTGGGATGAGGTTTGATGAAGTTAATCCACATAATTTCATTCTTTGATTCTGTGACCTTCTGCATGTTGACCAGACACCATTCCAGGTGATTACAGAGGAAACTCAGAGGAGGGGATGCCCCTGTTCCCACTTCCTGGGACACGCAGACCCGGGGAGTAGCCCCGTGCTCTGTGCTTATATTACTTCTTTGTGCACTGAGAACAGAGACTACCTTTTGGGGCAGACTCAAGCCCACCAGGGAGTGTTTGTCCAACAACATTTTCTTCTGAGCCAAATCTGTCTGTATTATGCTAAAAATAGTAGCTTCCGCCCCTGGATTTGCTCAGGCTTGAGAATCCACTAACTGAAGGCCTCTTGTTGGATTGGGCCAACAGCAAGCCAGCCCTTTGTGCAGAGACACAGCTGTGCATTTTGAGCCCTCAGATGTGTGTAAGGCGCCTTTGTTGCCTCCTGGGGAGGAGAGCTCTGCTCACTGTGCAGAGGAGGGAACGGATGTTGTATCCATCGTGGGAAAATGCACTCAGGCAAAGAGGAAGCCCAGCATTGTTGGTCAGATGTCAGCCCAGGCACAGAAGCACCCACAGGACACCAGAACCCTGTGGGAAGGGCCTGGTCCAGCCTGGTCCCCTGTCCATGGGGTCATTGGCAGAAAGAGGGCTTTGGTTTGTGATAGACACTCAGGCCCTGCTCCTGTGTTAGGAAACAGCCCTTGGGTCATATGACCTCTGACAGTATGCAGAGGTTTTCTTGGAGTTACCCCAAATAGTGGAAGTCAGACATGGGGAAGGCTGTTGGGAACATTTCGTGGTATTATTCTTTGTTGTAACTTAAAGTAATAAATAGTCTGTGAGCAGCGGTGTTTGCCATGGGCTTTCTCATGTCTGGGCAGCCCCTTGTGGGGCACTGATCCCTGGTTCTCAGTGGCCTCCAAGGCTCCAGCACCCTGGAATACACTGATGATTCCCCAGGTTTGTTATCCAGACTGGCAGCATCCGCCCACTTCCACTGGCAGGGGACTAGAGGTGCTGCTTTGGTTGGCCTCACCTAGACCTGGGGTCAGAACTGTGAGATGGGTACTAGGTGGAGGGTGCCACCCAGAGTGCTGCCCACCCCCTTTGGACAGAGGTAGCCACTTGCACCTGCTGCATGGCAAGGCCTGTTGGCAACGTCTCGGTATGAGCAGCTGAGAAAGCATGCAGTGAGCCTCTGCCCAGCCCAAGACTGTATTCATATGATACATTAATTAATCTTTTTTTTCTAGAGACAGAGTCTTACTATGTCACCCTTGGTAGAGTGCTCCAGCATCACAGCTCACAGCAACCTCAGACTCTTGGGCTTAAGTGATTCTCTTGCCTCAGCCTCCTTCAGCTGAGACTACAGGCACCTGCTACAACGCCTAGCTATTTTTTGGTTGTAGTTGTCGTTGTTTAGTTGATGCAAGCTGGGCTCTAACCCGTCAACCTCGGTGTATGTGGCTGGCACTGTAACCACTGTGCTACAGGTGCTGAGCCCTTCTTTATTTATTTATTTATTTTTTTGAGACAGAGTCTCAGCTCTGTCACCGTGGGTAGAGCGTCGTGGTATCATAACTCACAGCAACCTCAGATTCTTGGGTTCAAGTGATCCTTTTGCCTCTGCCTCCAGAGTAACTGGGATTACAGGTGCCCACCACAGTGCCTGGCTAGTTTTTCTATTTTAGTAGAGATGGGGTCTCTATTGCTCTGTCTAGTCTCAAGCTCCTGAGTTTATGCAGTTCACCCACCTTGGCCTCCTAGAGTGCTGGGATTATAAGCGTTAACCACCACACAACCTAGAAAGTTCTTTTTTTTTTTTTTTTTTTTTTTGAGACGGAGCC